GTTTATAACCCACAGTTTTTAATGTTTTAGCAAAGAATTTTAAAGATCATGAAACAGTCATAATTTTTCCCATTGTTTTGCATGATTTTGCGCTATTCTGCCTGTTTACTATTTGGCCTGTCATTAAAAAGTTAACTGACCTTTGCTCTAGAGAAAACAGATGGAGGAGGAGGAGGAGGACCATTCAATGAGTGGCTTCAGCTTGTGAGATGATCCAGGGCTTTCTTATTAGGATACAGTGAGGCAAGAAGTTGGTATTTAGTTTTTAGGACCCATGAGAATAAAAAGTGTAGACTAGAATCCTAGGAGAGTTATTTTTGCTTGTTTTAAAAACTTACTCTGAATCGGTATAAAAACATGATTAAAAGAAAACACTAAGTGCAAGGTACTTGTTAATTTGGAGGCGACAGAACAGGTGGGACTGACGTGAGGTTTTGGCTCTATCATGTTTTGGTCCTTTAAAATGTTAGAATTTGATAAAGCGGAGTAGATACACCCATTTTAAGGTATTTTCTGTACTTTTCATAATATTTGAAACATTTCATTAAACTTTTCAATAGACGCTGCTACAGTTGTGCATGTTTGGAGAATGATTAGATGCCATCTTCTTAAACCTATAAAGTTAGTGCCTGGGAGCTTAACATTTCTGTGGTGGCCCTGTTAGAAGGTGGCAGCAGATCATTCCAGCTAGCTACGTACAGAGTGAAGTTGTCTGAGGCAGTGGCTGGTTGTTTTGGTTAAACCTCTAGTGACTTCAGAACCAGAGAAACCTGTTTTCTATAACAAAGACCAGTCCGTTTGGCTATTTTGTAATAGCTGATGTTCAAAACACCTGCCAGGGTTTTGTAATTTAGGTTCATATGTCAGATAATATATGAATTTAACCATTTCTAATGCTTATCCAAGAGAAAAAAATGTTACTGTCTCCTAAAGGCAGGAATTGCATTTTTACGTATTCTGAAGCGATTGTACCAAATTTGGTGCCCTTCAGCTTTTTCCCTGTTTTCCTTACTCTGCGTTTTGAAAACTTATAGGATGCATTTAATTTTGCACTAACATTTGTGAGCATACAAATAGGACTTGAAACATATTTTCATGGTTATTTCCCAAAACTGTTCCAAGACCGATATATAATTTTGTCATCTCTTAATAATAATTATTTATTAAGGAATAACTTCCTGAAAATTGTCCAGCCAAGACCCCTCAGCCTTGGCCAGTTCTTTGGTGTGGTGCTGTCAGTGACTCTGTCACTGAGTGTGACTGTAAACAGACCCAGCAGAGGGCTTGGCCTTGGTGAGCCCTCTGGTTCTGATGAATCCTTGAGGAATGTTTTTCCCACTGCCTGTCACTGTGGTGGGTTTTTCTTTCTTTCCACCCAAGGGGTTGTTATGTTTACGCTGGAGCTCACTGATCAGACCAATATGAATTCAAATCCAGCACTGCTGTTTGCTTAGCTTAACCCACCCAAACCTCAGGGTCCTCACTTGTAAAAGGGGGTTGTTACTGCATGATTCACAGTTTTGTGACTATTAGAAATAGTGCACATAATGTGCCTCACATCAGGCTTAGTGAAGGCAGTAAAATGAGGTGTCAAGAAATAAATCATACTCTGTGCATTTTGGTTCGTTTTGATTTTAAGCTGTGTCTACCGAAGTATGGTATTTGATTTTCTTTAAGCTTTTTTTTAAGGAAGGTGATAGGTAAGTCGTGGAAGCCATCTTACATACTAAAGTATTTCTGGCTTTTTGTACAAATGTTTTGGAGAACAACAAAAGAAAAAATGCATTGATGTTATGTGGAGTGAGGTGAAGAATATGTGGCCTGTGTTTCCTAAAGAAACATTCTCTCCCTTGAAACCAGCAAACTAAAACAAAATCCTTTTTCATGAGTTCACTCCCTTAAGCCTAGAGCATAAAAATTTGAATCATAGAGGCTTAAAAGCAATTTAGTTAGTAGAAGCATGTAACAAAATGAGACTTTTCTCCATTTGACAGGGAGCCTCCACACTCACAGAGAGGACTTCTTGACACATTAAGGGTGTGGTTAAATTTCATCTTAATTGAACCTAGCTTTGGCCAACTAACCTGCTACTTAGAGCTCTTTTACGCTTATCAAGGGACCTGAAAATAAGGCTGCTTCTGAAACTTAAGCTATGAGATCAGTGTGTGATCACTAAGAGCAGATGTGAGCAGCTGTTCGAGACAGAGTGGCCTCCCAGGCCCACAGGATTTGTGATGAAGGGCCCATCACATCTGCAGGAAGGATGTTCCAGTGAGGAGGAAGCAGTGGTCAGCAGTGGCAGTCAGGAAGGAAGTATTCCAGAGGCAGATCTTGACCGAGCTCTCTTGACCGAAGCACTGTAGTCTGCCTGGTAGGCTCCGATAGAGAGGACATTCACAAGGAATCCCACAGAAAACTGCCTTACTCTGACTCCAAGTGACCTGCTCCATTTCACCTTGCTTTCTGAGGCAGTATGCTGGATAGCTTACACATCCAGCCTGCTTGACAGTTAATTCCTCAGTATCCTCTTGTGCGCTTTGTTAGCCGGGATCAGCATCCTCGTGCCCCATGAGCGCAGAGGCACTCAGAGTATGTGTCTGAGCCCATAAAGATAAGGGCCAGTTTCTGAGCAGTGTTGACTTCACCAAGGTAACTGCCATCCATCCCTAGATAAGCTTTTTCCCTCTTCCTCTTTATACACCCTCAGGCTTCTATAGCTGCACAGAGTGTGTATCTGGCACTCTTGCTTCTGAAAAGCCACTGAATTCTCACCCTTTATACCATGATCGCCCTGCTGCATTCTCTGCTGTGGTATTTGGCGGTTTCCATCTGGCTGCCTTGAGCTTCGTTTGGCTCCTCTCAGGTGTTTGTTTCAATTGAGACATAATTCACATTCCATACAGTTGACCCATTTAAAGTGTACAGTTCCTCCCTCAGATTTTCTTGTTAAAAAAAGACTGTACCTGAAGCTGTTCAGGAAGCAAGGCCACAAAGGAGTTAGTGATCCCCAGGGCTCTCAGCTTGGCAGGGTGTTGGATAGGCTGTTTCACCTCAGGAGCATTGGGCACCCCTTGCCTTGATGATGTTCTCAGTTTGAGGTCGTAAGTGGATCCTGTGTGGGTCCTCTCCATCTTGTCTTGTTGCTAGCAATGCTGCCTCTGGCATTTGACAGTGGTGTGGGTTGGACAGAATCACACACCAGAGGACTCCTCTCTTGCCATGTCTTCCCTGGGCCTTGTTGATTGTGTATGTTTTGTGACCTTTGGCACATAGTACAAAGTCCCTGCTCCAGGTGTACACCCAGCTGGTTCTTGTTGATGTGTTATACGGACGAAAGTTACCCCTATTAAAAAAAAACTGATTTATTAAAGTATTTACTTACCATAAAATCAGTTGTTTTAAGCATACAATCCAATGACTTTTGGTACATTTACAGAGTTGTACAACCATCCCCACATTCCAATTTTAGAACATTTCCACCATCCCCAAAAGATCCATCCCTATGCCAATTTGCAGTCACTCCCCCCCTCCCCCAGTTCCAGGCCAACACTAATCTTCCTGTCTCTATTGATTTGCCTTTCCTGGACATACTGTATGATTGCATTCATATGAAGTGTCCAGATAAGGTACTTTTAACTGGTGATTTAACTGATGGTTGCTTTCAAATTAACAAGAGAATTTTTTACTTTAGAGTGTGCTTTTTTTGCTGTACTAGTTACCTGTGATTTTTTGGTGTGTGTGGGAGTTCCTTGGGGGTGTTTGTTTATTTTGCATAGTACCAAACTTTTTGTCCATAGATAGATGTTTCGTGGATATTTGTTTTCATGCCTATCATTGTGATGCATTTGGGGAGACACAAGAGAAGCACAAATTCTGCCCTCTGCTTTCAAAAGGCATCCCCTAGTTGGTGAGGTAAACCTAGCAAACATGAAAACAACTAAGGAGGAGTAAATGACAGCATATAACCACGTGTAAGGCCCTGGGATGTTTTTATTTGAAATGTTTACCAAGCACCCTGTGCTAGGCCCCACGCAGATTGGAATGCCCTTGTGCCAGAAGGCAGAGATCCATGGAGGCCAGGGTATAGAGAGGTGATGTGGACTTGTGGTCCCAGGAGGGGTGATATGGTGGTGCAGAGCAGACGCTGAATCACATGGTCAGGTTACTCCCTTTTCCAGTTGGTTTCCTGGCGAAAGTCTCATTCTAGTGCAGGTGATACCTCTAGCACTTGTGTATCTGTCCTTTTTAAAGAGAAAGGCCTTCTGCATGCAGATGTATCTGGCTGGAATTTTATAATATAGTTGTTCTGTTTCCCGTGTACTAGAGAGGGGCCATATTTTGGGACACTTTGAAACCTAGGCCCATATTGGTTTGCTCAGATAGGAGCCATTATCCACACTGGAGCAAAGGAGTGACCTGAGTTGCCTTTGGAGGTTTGGCAGTGGGGAGAGCTAGCATTAGGGAGCTTCTTTCTGAGGTGCTTGTGGTAATTTGACTATGAAGTGGCCTACCCTGGCAGAGAGTGGACAGGGAAGTTTCAGAAAGGTCCTTCTGGGGGCTGCTAAGAGCACCAGCACTTTCTTCCTGACCTAACATTGCTGGCTCTGGCCTTTCAGTGCTAAGCTCCCCTTGGCCCGGGGAGACAGGCACGTATCCAAAAGGATCCTACAGACTGTTCTGTTGCCTTTGAAAGCCTTATTTCTATGCTGGATGTGTATGTCTTTGATAATGAGGGCAGGGACAAAATCAACATGCAACTGAATTTCAATTTAGTTGGGTGGGTTGGTATCTTTGTTGTTAGATGCTGCGTTTCTTTCCTGTATGAGGAGGGAATCGCTAAGAAGGCCTGATGGTGACACTTTAGACACAGCTCACTGGAACTTAGTGCTAGATCTTAAGGCTCTGGAAAACTGTGGGCCACCTCCTATAGGTCTGTGCACGTTCTCTCTTTCCAGGATTGCCCTGCCAAGCTAATTGGTCTCTGTTTCGTTGTGTTTTAGAATTTTGCCAAGTTTCAAAGATAGTGGGAAGATGCCGGGCCGCCATCCCTAGGTGGTGGTACAATGTCACTGACAGATCCTGCCAGCAGTTTGTGTATGGAGGCTGTGAAGGGAATGACAATAATTACATGACCAAGGAGGAGTGTCTTGCAAAATGTGCTGGTGTCACAGGTAAGACAGTGCTAGTTGGGGAAGTTTTATTATCTAGAGGCAGTTTATTAATTGGGATGTAAATGCCTTTTGCTTTCATTATTTCCTCATGGCTGAACCTGGGAGGTATTTTAAAAAGCAGAAGAAACAGGCACAGTGTGTATGTCACCCACACAGTGGTTTCACGGCGGTAGGCTCCCTCCTCTTCCCAGAAAGGGCAGAGTAGGCCACAGACTGGAGCCGGGGGAGGACTGCATCTTCTCAACTTCCTTTCTCCTACTAGTGAGTGCAAGTCCCACGCCAGACCTGGCATGAGCAGAGTCCTCCAGGTCCCCTCAGACGGGCTGCCGCCTTGCTTCCTGGGCATTTGGGTTCTTTTTACCTCTGAGTTAAATGACTTGAGGTCACCCAGCCAGCCAAATTACAAATCACGTCAAAAATAGAACATACTTCCTGGAATCCATCCTTCTCCCAGCCCTCACTAGGGGAGGATTCTGTGGAATCAAGATAATACTGACCCTGAGAGCCTCCCAGTTGAAATAAAAACCTAAAGCCCCACAGCAGTATACGCTGGCTCTGAACAGAGCCTCGGGGAACTCCTTGAGACCTGATGGCAATGAGATGTTGGCTTTCTGGGGCCTGATTCCTCCCAAGTGTTCAGAGACCCAAGGATTTGGGCAGCCAAACTGTTAAAGATTTTCATTGATGATTTTCTTAGCATTGTTACATTGATGCATCCTCTCCTGATGGCTTGGCATCAGTGTTAGGACTCTGGATTATGATTCTGTGTCAGGATGTGCTGGTGTCCTCTGTGCCCAGAGATGGGCCCTGCATGCTTGTCGAGTTTTAATATCTCCTCACATATTAACTCTCTCTTGGCTTTGAGCTCTGCATTCAGAAGTCAGATAAGCTTATTAAAGTCATGTGTAAAGAGAGGAAAACAACGGTGGCTTTAGCTGTGACCTGAGGTTTAAAACATAATGCCCAGGCATACAAGCCCGGCAGTGACTCGGTGCCTTGAGGAACATTTTATTGATTTTTGTATACCTGGTGCCCAGCAGGCGCTCAACAAGTGTTTGGAGAGCTGAGGTGGCTGGTGTTGATTTTGGATCATACAGGTGGGTCCCTCATCTTTTGAGGGGGGTAACTGGCAACCTCACCACATGGTGACTGAAAAAAATACCATTTATTGTACATAGTTTTCTGTCATCAGCTATGATCCAGTGTCGGGGGAGGAATTAAGGGGAGATATTTTTGCCACCTTTTCTGTCTTTTCCCAATCAAAAGTTGACAGTAGCAGATGTACATGCCATTCTGGTTACTCCTTGGTTTCTCAGGGAGAAAGTTGTAAGAACACAAGCAGTGGACAGTGGGCCTTAGGACAGAATGTCTCTACAAGGGGCCACGGGGTGTTGTGTTTTGCTGGGAGAAGGCAGACAGCTGTCTCCCTAGAAGTCAGCCAGTCTGGCCCCAGCCTCGAGGTCTCAGAAGGCTCATTTGCTGGCACCCGAGCCTGGCTCTACTGCACAGCTCGTGAGGCATTCTCTTGTGAGCCTGTGAGGAGCTGAAGCTGCCAGGGCAGCTCGTCACTGGAGTCTTTGGCAGCATATTCTCCCCCAGGCAGGCAAGCTCTGGGGAGCCAGATGATAACGAGAATGCCAGTTTATTTATTAATAATTAATTAATTAATTATAATGAGAACCAGAATCACTGAAAGACCAGACACTTCATCTCTGTGCCTACACCTTTAGTCCATGTAGGCAAACCTCTCAGCCAGATTCCCAGAAGATTGCTTGATGAGGAAAGAGGCAGAACTAGGAGAGTTGGTTTGTGATAGAAATGTTTAATGGCGTCAGGTTAGACCAGCCCCACACCTCTCCATAGGGGAGGGTCCCACCCTCCTGGACCTTGCCAGCACCACCTTTTTTGCACTTCCTTAACTGGCTAACCTCTCCACCCCACCCCCTTAACTTTGTGTGTGTGAGATAAAATATACATAACATAAAATTTACCATTTTAACCATTTTTAAGTGTACATTTTAGTGGCATTAAGTACATTCACACTGCTGTGCACCCCCTTCACTTTTCAATTCATTAGGCGAGTTAATACAGTTTGCCAGGTTACTTGGCCCTGGAAGCCATTCTGACTTTTTATAAAGTCATTTCACATGTCTTTGCTCTGATTCCCAAGCTGGTTGATCTTAAAGTTTAGCCCACAAGGCAATCTTGGTTCCTTATTTTCCAAGTTCTGATGGGCTTGTGGTCCAGCGTGTGCATTGAAGGGCCCACATAAAGGAGAAATGGGAGTCGCTGTGAGAGGCACACAGGACCAAGCCTGCTCAGGGACGCAGCTTGTTTTGTCTCATCAGCAGTCTTGGATGTACGCTTTCTCACTGTGTTGTTTATTTGTCCCCTTGTAGAGAACACCATTAATGGTCCAGCCACCAGCAGGAATGGAGCAGATTCCTCTGTCCCAAGTGGTAGGTTCTTAAAAAGACCCAGGATGGAATGAGGGCCATCCAGATGGGTAACTGTGAAAGGACATCTGTACTTTGGGAGTTGTACAAGGGCCTCCATCTCCTGGTACTGTTTACTCAGAATTGGCAGATGGGGGCTTTGCCTGGGCTGCCAGCTTCTGGCTCCTTGCCGGCCTCCTTATACTGGGGAGTTCATATTGTCCAGCAGACAAGAGGGCTGAGGGGTTCAACAGAGCTTCCTGGCTGACCTCAGCTTCCTCCTGGGGGACGGGATTGTGGTTGCTGCCAGGTGGGCTCAGGCCCCTTCCTTCTCTTTGGGCTGGCCTCAAGTCCCCTGGCCTCTCCTGCTGTGCTGTCTTCACTGTCCTGTCCCACCTCCTTGCCTGTTTTGTCTCCTTTGCTTCCTGTTGTCCTTGTCGTCTCCCTCCCTGTGCTGAGTCCTCTGTCCTCTGCCACCCCTGCCTCCAATTCCCACTGCAGTCCTTGATCTCGAGCTTTGTGTTAGCTTGCTTTGTAGTGCTGACAGCAGCTGCCCCATTCCTCCTTTATGCTTAAAGGACTTTGCGTCAGGAGCCTGGGGTGAGTGGTCCAGATGCACTAGCAAGCCCAGCCCAGCGTTCTCAAAGGCTAGTCCCCAGGCAGTGGGTTCTGCTGGGCGAGACCTGCTGTGGAGGGAGGGAATCTGCCCCTACCCCATTTGAGGATGGCCCGTAGTCAGCCAGTGGCCATGCATTGATTGCAGTCTTGGCTCTAGTCCTTTGCCATCAGTGCCCACATGAGAGTGAGCATTTATTAGCTCAGTGGTTGGCCGACTTGCAGAATGCTGAGAGTTAGGGTAGAGTCACTTTCCAGTTTTGCCAGGCTAGGAATCCTGTGCCCGTCCTGGCCATTGCTTTCCCTGGGTTCACCGTTTATTCTCGAGCTGCCTCTGCAAAGTCATCCAGAGCCATGAGGTACCAGCATAATAGTTCTGGTTTTCATCCTGTTTCAGAAGAAAATTTCCCTAAGAGAATAAGGGGCCTCCTCCCTGTGCCAGAGAGTGAATACCTCTGGTCTTCCTCATCACCCCAGAAACTATGGCTGGGATTAGATTCCAGAGCAACCCCTGAAGTGACAGGCAGGCCTCCCCATCCAGTATTCAGTCCGTGTGTGCAGTAGAGCCCATTAGGACTGGGAGCTGATGGAGCAAAGCTGCCCAGGGAGGGGGGCTCCACTCCTTTCCTTCCAGGTATCAGAGTGGGCCCTTTTACACTCAGCCCTGGCTAGGCCATGTGTCCTGTGTCCATCCCAGCCTCCCTGACATGGATGTTTGTGTTTCAGTTCCCAGAAATCAGGATTCTGATGACCTCTCCAATGATATTTTCAACTATGAAGGTATAACTTTTAAGAAATATTCACATATGGATAAAATGTGTTTCCTTACTTAGCTGGGAATTGAGACAAACTTGAAGATTTCCATTAAGGAAATTGTAGAGAGAGGCTTCCCGGCCTTTCCCAGGTGGGAGGACTCATGAGGATGCCCCGGGTGGCAGGAAGCAGGAAGTGCTACAGCATGCCCTCAGGAAGCTTGTGCTTCCAAGGCAGCCTGGTGTGCAGGCTCTGCCTCCCACCAGCTGTGTGCTGTGGGTAGCTTACTGTAGCTCTGCCTCAAAGCCCCTGAGTATGAAATGAGGGGCCTAGTTCAGACCTTTCAGAGACCAACTTAACACATGTAAAGCGCCTACAAGAGTGCCTGATGCAGAGAAACCTCCATAACAGTGTAGTTTGGCTATAAAGAGAAAGATATCTGAAAATGTGGGCCAGACTGGCCACGTCTGTAATCGACAAGTTTCTTTAGCAGTGATGTTTCCTCCATTGGCAGGCAGCCATGTGGCTGCTCAGCAGCATTCTAGCTCAGTTCACCTCTCCTGGGCCCTACTCATTTGTACTCCTTGGGCTGTCTCACTCCCAGAATACTGCACTGCCGAGGCGGTCACTGGGCCTTGCCGTGCAGCCTTTCCACGCTGGTACTTTAATGCCGAGAAGAACTCTTGTGATAACTTCATCTACGGAGGATGCCGGGGCAATAAAAACAGCTATCCCTCCAAGGAGGAGTGCATGCAGCGCTGCTTCGGTGAGTCTGCCTGATTCCTAAATCCAGGAAACAACCTTGGGTGAATGAGCCCTCCCAAGAGGGCTCCATTTCCCCATCCCTAAGATGAAGGACTTAGAAATGCTGTCATTGGCTCTACCTTTCTCTGGCTTCCTAGTGAGGAAAGGGTGGGCTTTGGCACTGGCTATTGGGCAGATGTGTCCTAGATCCCCACCAGGTGGCAAGGCCTCAAGACCCTCAGAAGAGCTGGAAGAAATTGCTCAGAAAGAGCCCCTGTGAAGGCACAGGGCTGAGGGGAATCCGTGGGCGTGAGCAGCTCTAGGGGAGGAAGGCTGAGAGCTGACCTCAGGGTTGTGTGTTTTCTTCCAGGCAAGCAGTTATATCCTGCCCTGCCCCACGGCACTAAAGGTAAACAGCCTTTTACCCACCTCTACCTGCCTTCCTTGACTAAGCTTTGGCTGTATTTTTGCAGGCTCATGTTGTCTTGGACACATCATCCTTCACTGTAAACATCTTTTTGGTAGAAAGTTCATGTTTCTGCACGAGTATGGCTAGGCAGCTTGGAATATGTGGATGTTTGTCCCACCATACAGTGTACATAAACAGGGGTTAGGAGTGAGGCTGTCTCTGCCCAGGCAGCCTGGGGGTGACTAGAGGACACACTCTACTGTTTTGGCTGTGCAGGGACCTGCTCTACATGGGCCTGAGACTGTCTCCAGGTTTGGGGGGAGCTTTGCTGCTGAGGGGTGTACAAAGTTGGTCATGGGTGACACGAATTAAGATGGAGAGCCCTTACTGTGTGTGGGCGGAGTGTGGCCCTAGTCCATGCTGTTGTCCCTGAGCAGTCTGGTCTGACAAGGAGGCTGGGCCTTTTCTCGCTTTTGTTTCTGATTCTGAGCCTGAGTCATGCATGGATGGTAGTGTTTGGACAAAAGACCTGCCACACTGGTTTGGCCTCTTTCCACCTGTTTCCCTGTTAAGGAGCCCAGGCCTGACCTATGTGTCTGCTCTGCTTTAGAAGAGGAATGAAGCTGGAACCTGGTTTGCCAGGCATGGGGGTCTGGAGGGTTGGAGATGGAGAGGGGATTGACGCTGTCCACTTCTGTAGCCAAGTAGGGAGAGGGAGCCAGGTAGCTGCCACAGGAGGATACATTCCTTCGACGGATCCACACCTGAAAAAAAAGCATAGTAACTGACCAGTGGGACTGCACTGGGACAACCACTGTTAAATTTACTTGGGTAACTAGGAGCATGAGCGTCCCCTCCTGGCCCTGCTTCCAATACCTCTTGTCTCCTCCCTTCCCTCATTCCACAGGTACCACCCCAGCCACCTGCAGGGCCACATCTTTCTCTGTGGCTGGTCGGGGCAAGGGAAGAGGGTATGCTTTTTACATCCTAGTGTGCATCTTTTGGCCTGAATCCCCTGAGAGGTGGTAGGGAAAGAGAGTTGAAGTGGAGAGTTTCTGGTCAAAAAAAAAAAGGAATACAAATAGCCTCTCTGTGTGCACGTAGCATAGTGCCTCCTTTTTTCAGGAACCTGCTTCTCAGGACTGTAGGGACTCTCCTTGATGACTTTCTGGCAGGCAGTGCCAGTTCTCCAGACTCTCCCAGGTTGGGGTCAGGGGAACACCTGGTCCAAGAGCTGCTGGTCTTCACCCTGAGCCCATGTGGACACTCTGGCTGCTGCCTGCCTCATCCTGCTGGTTCTGAGGCCTCTCTCTCTTCTGCAGTGGTGGTCCTGGCAGGGCTGTTCGTGATGGTCCTGATCCTCTTGCTGGGAGCCTCCGTAGTCTGCCTGATCAGGGTGGCACGGAGGAACCAGGAGCGCACCCTCCGCACCGTCTGGAGTTCCGGGGACGACAAAGAGCACCTGGTGAAGAACACTTACGTCCTGTGAACACCCTGTCGCTAAGGGGCTGCCCTCCTCCACCCGCTGTTGATGAAGAGAACCTGGGAAGGGAGGGGAGACAAGTGTCGAATGCGTGTGTACTTTTTCAAATTGAGTGATTGATTTGTATTTGTGAGATCATTAGGGTTACTTCACAAGGTAAGAGGGCTTGCTGCCTGGTCTCCTGGGGTGTGTTTGCTTTGGAAATCCTCTTAGATAAGGGCTGCGTGCATTGCAGGTGGTCTGGCCCTCGACTGGAGTCAGCTCCTCTTCGATTTATTTCTTGGCACCAGGTATAGTTTTCTTCACATATGTTGAATCTTATTGTCTCCTTTCCCATCACAAAAGTGATGCTTTAATAGTTTCCTTTGTTTGTTTGTTTTTTTAAGTAAGCAGAAGCATAAGTTTTTTATTAGGATTCTGAAAGGAAGAAAGTAAGATGTACAAGTTTAATAAAAAGGGCCTTCCCTTTTAAAATAAATTTCAGCATGTGCTTTCTTTCTTTATAGGACTGCTAATTTAAACTCTACCAAAATTACCACAGGACACTACATGAGATGCCCCATTCTAGAAATGAACTCCTTAAAAAAAAAAAGCATCTTTCAGATCTTTTTGAATGAAATACATCTTTCATTACAGCTGAGTGCCCATAAAGTTTCACCAATAACATTTAGCCTTCCCACCTGTGGCAAGCTCTGATTGTTTTTATTCTGTTTCACTTTTTAAAAATTCTGGTCACACTGTACTAACTTTTTTTTTAATTGATCCACTTTGGCACTCATGATTTTCAAGTTTCCCTGCAGCTCTGCCATCTTCCTCAGGCCTTCCACATGTCCCTTTATTGAAATGGGAACAGGGTACCACCAAGCTTAGTCCTAGTTCTGCTGCCTACCTGTAGATGTTCCCTGCCTGTCTTTAGGCTCTCAAAGCCCTTTTTCCCCTCTCCTTCCAAACACGTACTCCTAAAACACGGAGCAGCATCTGGGCTACCCAAGGGGTCAGGCAGGCGCCCTGGGACCTCTACCCACCTCAGTGACTCAGAAGGCTGGGCCCCAGCCCGGGAGTGGGTGGAGGTGCTGGGCCAGGCTGTGGGCCCCATGCATTCTGACATGATAGTTTCAGGTGTTGCTTTGGCCTCTTGGAACAAAAAGACAATAAGCCCTCCTTTCCTTGACCTTCATGGAAATCCCTTCTGGTCAAAAGGCCACATTCTCTACAGGCGCACCTTATTTTACTGTGCTTCGCAGGTGCTACATTTTTAAATTTTACAAATTGAAGGTTTGTGGCAACCCTGCATTGTCAGGTGATGGTTAGCATTTTTCAGCAATAAAGTATTGTTTAATTAAGGTATATACATTGGGGGTTTTTTTAGATATAATGCAGTTGCATTCTTAGTAGACTATAGTATAGTATAAACATAACTGTTACATGCACTGGGAAATCTAAAAAGTACTTGTGACTCGCTATATTGTGATATTTGCTTCCTTGTGGTAGTCTGGAACGAACTCAGTATCTCAGGAATGCCTGTACGTTGGGGAAAAGACTTGTATCTGTTAGGGCTTAGAAATCTGTTCCAGAAGCAGTTGGGCAAATACCTTATCCACTTCCTCCCAGCCTCTGTGGTCCATGGTAGACGTTGCTCACGGACTCTGGCATTCTCCCTCCCAAGTTGGTGAGCAGGTGAAACCTACTTGCTGTATCTCAGACAAATTGGGACTCCCAGTGCTCCGGAAGAGCCTGTGGTCCAGGAAAGTGGGCCTAGGCATTGGGAAGAGACTCCCCACCCACCACTCTCCAGCTGTGCAACAGCAGTTGGGTCACTTAACTCTTTTGAGCCTCTGGTTTCCTCACCTGTAAGATGGGTGGATGTGAGGGTCACATGAGATTATAGATGTGGTGTCTGCCTCTGCCCACCTACCTGTGTCCTCATTTCTCCTCAATAGTTGGTGGCTCTCCCCTACACCCACCCTGCCATCCCATGAGCAACCCTCAAGTCCACTTGTGTCCTTTCGTGTTTCTCTGCCTACTTGAACAAGAGTTGTCTCTCCTACATACCTTAGTCATGTGAAGGAAAAAAGTAGTGTGTTTAGATTTTAAAAGAAACTGTTGGGAATCACTTTGAAATAATTATACTGCAGAAGGAACATCATGAAGTGAATTCTAACACCATCAAGGCCAGGTGAACTTTTGTAAGTTTTTCATAGAGTACCTTTATGTATGTCTAATACAGAAGTTAGGCTCTGTGACTCACTTCTGCCAAAACTTGTCCTGTTTATCTCATGGTTTGGGAGGCCCCATGGCCCCACTTGCTCCTGGCAGATTGACAGCATGGGACCTTTGGGCCCTCTTGGTGTGCCAGTGGTGTCTCGCTTCTGCACTTTTCCAGGTTAGGATGCTGCTGTTCCAGTCTGGTCGGCTCTTTGCCACACCACTGTAGCTCCTAAAACTAAACTGCCATGTTTTCAGTTTTCTGGACATTTTATAGGCTCACATTGGTCTCCTCTTTTTGTTACAAAGGCTACCCAACAATAGGCCAATAGCCAAGGTGTTCAATGGACATTTTACGGCCTTTGTCATCCTCACGCTGCTGACAGCATTTAGAGGTGAAATGGACTTTAAAAAATCGACTCAACAAAGATAGCTCACTCTGCCTCTTCCTGGTCCACACACTTTAGCAAGGCAGTTTGGTCACTGAATGTGGCTGTCACCAGAAAGGGATTATCTCTGGACCATCTCCTGAGTAAAGGTCAGGTCAAGAGGGTTGGGAGTCATACAGACTATTTTGACAATTTTGGAATTCTATCCTCATCATTCCTGTGTATGATGCATCTTCGCCCTAACAGCAAGCCCGGGCACACCTGGTTGGTGCACCCTCCTGATGGCAGCCGACCAGAGAGGGGCCTCAGATTAAAGTTAGCACTGGTTCGGCCCCCCACATTCTTTCTCGGACGACTGGTCCCAGGTCATGAAGACAACAGCCACTGGGTCATTGAGTGCTCTGCCTGCCAGGTCTCCCTACAGTGGCCCACATGGTCTCTATAAATTTGTAAAAATGTTTGTTCCATTCACATCTGATCCTTCCAAACAAAAGGTTTGAGTGTGAGTAGGTCATGACAAAGATGACTCCCATCCCAGAGTCACTGGTTGCAGATCCTTGGAGGGAGAGCAACAACCTGGCACTTGGGGAAGGAACACCTCAGACTCCAGGAGGTGAGGGGCAAGGGGGGGAGCAACCAGTGCTCTCTCCTCCAGATCCAGCACCTGGTCCAGCTGAGCCCTGCGGCACCTGCAGCTGGCAGTGTGACCCGCAGACCCGGCCAGTCCTGAACGAGTCTGCTGCGCCTGATGCCACCCGCAGCGGGCCGGAGTGTGGGCCCCACCCCTAGACGTTTACAAATACTTAGACCTGCTCAGTCTTGTTTTAATCTGGCTGATAACATAATCACACACTTCCTATGCCCACGCAGCCCTGGGCTATGCCATGTATGGCAATTAAGGTTGTATCTACTCAGTGGCACTGCCCATGTGGCTTACCCAAACCAGTGCAGGGGTGTTCCAAGTCAAGTTTAACAACAAATCATGTCCTGTGCCCAGTACTCTGAGCCTTCATGTGGGAAAGAATGAGTCACCATGTCTCTTCATTGGGCATGAGGGCTACTTTTGGACCTTGCAATTATTGGCAGTGGCACCAGAGGTCAGCAGGTCGGTCTGAACTCCCTTGTGTGGGTCCTAATGGATGACAGACTGGCCTATTACATCCTGGCTGTCTGAAATCAGCCCTGATTGTTCACAGCTAGATGAGTCCAGGATCCTGGATGGCAGATTGGCCTTATATCAACAGGAGTCACTGCCTCTTGGTCCTAGCTAAATGCCATATGAGACAAACTGAGTGAATTTGGTCCCAGCCTCTTGTCAGATTAATCCAAGCCCCTGACGGCATCCTCATGCGAAAATTCACCAGAAGCCAAGAGGGGTGCACTGTTGGGAGAGAGTGCTCCGTGGGGGTCTTGTGCACTACAGGTCTTGCTGGGTGTACCAAGACCGCACAGCCCTGGCAGCTGTTTCCCTGGGCCATTTCTCAGGGTTGGGTTTGCAGCGAGCACCTTGAAAGATGAAGTGATGTAGTGGTTCCCTCTAGGACAAAGAGCAGGCCTGCCTACTGCTTGCTGTAAAGTGGCAGGTTCCCATGCTCAGTGTCCCTCTTGTAATGGCAGCCACCCACTGTAGGTGTGGAGTCCATCTGGACCCTCTGCTTTGCTCCCAGGGGCAGGGGAAGTCAACACACATGTTGATGCTTATGCTTCTTGCTGTGATGTCTCTGACCCAGGAATCTCAAGGGTTCTCCCAGCATTTTGGAAACAGTTACAAGGCTAATTTATTAGCTTGTAAATAGAATGAAATCAAATCCCAGACACAACAGTCAGCTGGGCAGAGGCCAAGCTTGGGTTTCCCTAGCTGGGCTGTCAGCAACTTGGCACCTCCCAAAGGATGCTCTGCTGAGATTTTTCTGGTGATTAGTATTCCAGAACATCCAGGGCTCAGTGCAGCATTTCTGTCTTGTGGGAAAGGAAACTGAGTCTCTGCATACTGTGTGCTTAAGGTCAGCTATCTCCTGGGATGTGGTTAGGCTCAAAGAAAACATCCCAGAACAGGGATTATGATGTTTATAGAGCTGGGGTGCCGTGGTCATGCAAGCTTCAGGAAGGAGACGAAACCGGGCCTCAGCAGTTCCTCTTCCAACTGGTCATGTCGGTCCTCAGACATGTAGGAGCACTGGAGCACCACAGGAGACTGTCTCCCAGCACTCTGCTCCTCGGTCCTGTGCCACTAGAGCTGGCATCCAGAAATCTCTTCCTAAATTGCAGTGATTAAGTAAAAACGTGAGGGTTGGAGTGACCCTCTGTAGAATGTCTACTGGTGAGAAAGGGTAAGCTGATGTTGCAGTGAATGACATCGGTGTCACAGGTCAGTTGGGAACACAAGTTCCTTTTTCCTACAAAGAAGACTTTGCTTGTACCCTTAGGACCAAGTCATTTTAGGCAGAAATAATGAGGAAACAAGCAGGGGAGCGCAGTGCCATTAGATGCCAGGGGCAGGCAGGGCCTGGGAAGACAGACATAAGCCACTGTTCGTGCTCCTGTTAACTATGGGAGATAAGCACTGAATGGCAGAGAACTAATTTTCCAAAAAGCAGATGGACATGCCCTTGTCTTAGGGGCTCACATCTATATTTTTCATCCAAGCATTTATGTCCAACTTCCCAGCTTTAATCTCTCCTCCATTTGTAAACTTTCCAGAGTAGGAGAGTAAGGGACACTCACTGCCACCAATAAGGAGTAGTGATAGGTTTCCAGGTCCCAATTTCCCCCTTCTTCCTCTTGTTAATAGAAGTCCCCAGGTTTTAGCCAGATTTGTGGCTGCCCAGCTAGGAACTCTATTTCCCTGTCTCCTTTGCAGTAGGATGTGACTAGGTGTCTTAAGTCCTTACTGAAGGGATGTGTGCTGCCTCCAGGTTGGGTCCTTAAAAGGAAGTGGTGTGCCCTCCATTTGCCCTTTCTTTTCCTGGAGGGATGTCCAGTACCCAGACAGAAGGAGCTGGGTCCCGGGATGGTCTCAGGGAGCTGCCTGCTCACCTGCTCTGGTCTCCCACAAGCTCAAGCTTTCATGTGAGAGAAAAGTGAAGCTCTCCTGTTAAGCCTCTGTCTTCAGAGTCTCTGTGAAAGCTGCCACATCCTAAATATATAGGAGCGATAGGTGGGGGTCTGGAGGACCAGGCCAGTTCTCCCCGGACGCATTCACTCACCCCACAATTACTTACGTAGCAGTGAAGAGCTATTCCGTCTTGGGTCTGGAAGATCCCACACTGCTGCCCCCCACCCTACTGGCCCACTGTCCTACTGCACCTTTTAGGGTTCAATTGCTTCATATATAACATGGGGGGCCTATTGCCAGTTTCATGAGGAATCATGAGATTGTGTTTGTAGATCGTAATAAAAACTGACATTTATTGAGCATCTACTTACCTTGTCCCAGACAGGCTCTGCAAAACCATTTCCTTATGAGGTAAGTTTTCCTTTTGCCAGGAGGACAGTGAGGGCCAGAGTGACTGCTCCACAGAGCAGTAAAGGGTAGAGTGAGACCTGTAAGCAGATTGGCCTCCAGAACCTAAACTCACAGCCACTGTAAGCTTGCTCTAACCTGCCATTACCACTGCCTGGTATCAGGTAACCCAGTTCACCAGATGATAGTGAGCACCAACTCTGAGTCGCACCGTTCTGGGCACTGAGCAAAGCAATAAAGTCCACACCCTTGTTCTGCCAGGAGAGACACACATTTTCTCTCATATCCTGTATGTGGTTGTCAGCAAAACCATAATCATCATTTCCCTCTTCTCACAGAGTAAAGACCAAAGATCTCTGATTTACAAGACACTTCCCCCATCCCTCCTCTTCTACCTCTCCCCCTCCATTCACTGCCACTCTAATCTTGCAGTTCTTCCAACACAGGAACATTTCTGCCTCAGGGCCTTTGCACTTGTTATTCACTCTGCCTAGATATGCCTCCATATGCTTGCATGACTTGTTTCCTCACCTTCAGATTTTTACTCAAAAAGACTTCAGTGAGGCTTCCCTGAATAACTATCTGAAATCCAACATTTCCTCAACATACCACATAGTTATTACCTAGTCCCCTATATTGCTGTATTTCTCAGTACATACTACTTTTTAAAAATTGAGTTATAAGTTATATAAAACTCACCCATTTCAAATGTACAATTCAGTGATTTTTTTAAAATAATTTTACCAAATGGTGCAATTGTCACCATAAATCCAGTTTTAGAATATTTTCATCCCCTTCTACTAGTAAGATCCCTCACAGCCATTTACATCTAATCACCATTCCTACACTCAGCTCCCAGCAACCACTAATCTGATTTCTGTCTCTATAATTGCCTTTTCTGAATACTTCATATGAATGGTATCATATAATATATAGTCTCTCGCGTCTGGCTTCTTTCATCTAGCATGATGTTTTCGAGGTTCATCCATGGTGTAGCATGGATGAGTTCATTACTTTTTTTTTGCTGAATAGTATTCCATGATATGTGTAGATATATCACATTTTGTATATTCACCAACTGTTGGACAGTTTAATTTCAGCTTTTTCTAATACACTGTACATTTTGCTTTGTTCCCCCCACTAGAATGTCAACTACACGAGGCTGGAATTTTTGATGGTTGTGTTCACCTCTGTACCCCCAGCATTTGAATTATGCTGGACACATAGTAGGTATTCAAGAAATATATCCTGAAAGAATAAGTTAGAATAGAGATAACTTCAGGGAGTGGTAAGCCTGGGCTATGCTGGCCATCAAGCAGGGCAAAGGCGACAGAGTGACAGGACTCCATGGAGCCAGCAGTCAGGGCAGGCTCCTATAAGGAATGGACTTTGGAGCAGGCACCTGAATGCACAAGGCCAATTATTGCACGTTCGTCATCAGCTCCAGGCCTCAGCCACCTGCTCCTGTGCCACTCCTGCAGGTAAGGGCAGACAGCTTGGTGGCAGGACTGGGTTGGAGAGGGACTCCCAAGGACACCTAGCCTCACAGCAATTTGAGCAGGTGATGCAGGTCCTCCCTGCCCCCAGCTCTTGCCTGAGTCTGCGGGGCCCAGCCCAGTGTGGGGAGGAAAGGGTGGGCTGGACTGGCTGCCCCTTCTGCTGAGTGCCCCCAGGGTGAGACAGAGGGGCAAGGCACAGCCTTGGACTTGAAGCACACTGCCTGGGTTTGAATCCCAGCTCTAGCCTGTTCATTGCTCCATTTGCCCCTTGTCATCTTACTTAACTGTTTAGTTCCTGTTTTCTCATCTGCAAAATAGGGAAAGTAGCCATAGCTACCTTTTATTTGAAAAACAAACATTATTTTATAAGCATTTACTCCTAGTAAGTAACCGTATGCAGGCAGGTTCTAGGAAACTTAATTCGTTTGATTGTTATATCAACCCCATATGGTAGCTGTCATTTACAGATGAGGAATCTGAGGCACAGAGAAGTGAAGTTAACCTTCCCCAGATCACCCCGCTACTAAGTAATACAGATGGGCTTCAAATCAGCAGACTGGTTCCAAGTTCGTGCTTTTCACTCCTTCAGGCACTGCTCCTCACCAAGCCAGAGGCATTGTTAAAGGGAGTTAATGTATGTGAAGCCTCTGGAACAAGAGCCTGGCAGGTAATCAGTACACAAGGAGTGTCAGGATTATCACAGTATAGAGGATGCAGGGAGGCACCCTCCCTCATTTCTTCAAAACAAGGATCTAACCCTTTTAGGGGAAGCAGGTAACAGCTCTAGTACCCTCCTCAGAAATCTGCAACTTGGCCCACACATTCCTTCCCTAGCCCCACCCACACAGCCCCAACTCCACTGCCAAGGCTCACTGGGTGGGGGTGGGGGGGACATAGTAGTTAACTGTCCACCCTCCCCATTTCCCAGGGACAAGTTGGGCGGTGCTGGGGAGGGGCTGTGAGTCAGGACTAAGGACTCTGAACAAAGGTTAGGGTGGGGCTCCTCAGAACTCCATAGGCAGACTCACTGCCCCTCCCCATGGCCCTCCCCCTGCCCTGTGGCACTGCTGGGCCCTCTGGCCCTGCAGACACACCTTTTCTCACTTACCACCATGGAGTTTGACCTGTCAGCAGGTGCGCTCCTGGGGAGTGGGAAGCTTGAGGGGCAGAGGGCCAGATTCAAGCCCAGGGACTGCCTCCCAGGGGGCATTCCCTACGTGGGCGCCAACCCACCCAACTTCTCCTCTCCGCAGCTGTGGAGTCCACCTCCAAGAAGCCCCAGGGAGCAGGCCATGTGGGAGACGCCAAGCACAGCCCCCACAAAGTTCCCGGTGGGTCAGCTGATCACCTGAAGGTAAGTCACCTCACAACCGGGCACACCCCAGGGGCGGTTGCTTTTGACCCCAGGCCCCTGCTAGGTCTGGGGCCTCCGACTTGGGGACTGGATAAGGGGCTCCGGCCTCACTGTCACGCCACCAACTAGCATCACCACGGCCGTGGCCACGGCAGCTCCTCCGATTCCAGCAGCAGCTCCAGCGACTCGGAAAATGAGGCTAAGGTGAGAGGCTTCTCCCTTTTCCAGCGGGTGCCTGTCACCCCAGGTGGGGGCAGAGTTTCAGCCCGCAACTCTGGCAGACGTCTCACTGGCGGAACCCTCTCTCCTCTCCCACCCCCACCGTCCTCACCCCGACCCCACAGCCCGGCACAGTCGGCTCGGAGAAGCACAAAAGCGCCCCGGGCAAGGTCAAGAAGCCAAAGGTGAAAAAGGAGAAGAAGAAGGACGGGAAGAAGAAGGACGAGAAGAAGAAGGCTCCCCACTGACGGGCCTGGGCGGGGCTCATTAAACCTTCTCTCGGCCTCCAGGTTGCCTTCCGGTTTCGAGGCGCCGCGATCCGTCCCCAGCCCCGCCTGTCCCCTTCCTCCTGCCCCTCTCCGGGCCCGGACTGCCCCCTGCCGGGCACCGCGCGCCAAGGAGAGGCAGCTCACGCCGTGCCCCTCACGGTTTATTGTTTCTTAAACAGTGGCCGCACTGCGGGGTGGGGTGGGGGGCGGCCTGTGCAGTTGGAGATCTCAGCACCTCAGCGAGAAGGGGAGGGAGGGTCTCGGGAGGCGGGGCGGACCCTGTGGCCGGCAAGGGGCCGGGAGATGAGCGGCTGCAGCTCGGTGGCCGCCAGAAGCAGCAGCTGGAGGCGTCGCGGGGCCACCCTCACCGCACCAGGTGGAAGGTGAGCCAGTACATGAGCAGGGGCTGCGCTGCCGCCACCGCCATGGTCAGGTACATGCGCAGCTGGTTCCGCGCCCCGCGCACCGGGATGCCTTCGGCCGCCGCATCTGCCAGGATCTTCAGCCGAAGGGTCCGGATCTGGGTGGGGAGGGGATTCACCTTTGAGCCTGGCCATCCTTCCAGACTCGCTTTTCTACCCTTAATAGGGCAGCTTGCCTCAAGTCTCTGCTCCTGGGGGGACTTGTTTCCCCCAAATTTCCTAGCACATAGTAAAGGCCTGCTCCTTCCCAGGCCTTGGGAGAATATGTGAGGGTTCCAAACTCAAGGGTGAGGCCCCTAAGTGAGTGAGGTGGGGGGACTTCACATGAATACCCTTACTGAAGGGGGTGGCCAGGCTTGGCCCTTTTGCTGCTACCACCTTGTGTTGACCTCTGACAATTTTTTCAACCAGAAATGCCTTTTTTCCCCCACTCCCCTTAAACTTTTAAATATAACGACATCTAAGTCAAAGTTTATCTGAGGGGTAGGTCAAGCCCACCAGGCTCTAGGTTTGCTCTCTGCTCCTCACATGCAGCCACACTAAATCCTCCTGTACCCTGAGGTGCAATTATCATCCCCATTTCACAAAAGGGGAAACAGGTTCAAAGTCTATCCAGGATCCAGCAAAGCTTGGGGTCAAACCCCAATGCAGCCTAGTGCTCTTAACCAGCACCTCCACTCCAGCTGGAAGGACTCTCAGAGAAGCTACTTCGCAGGTACTGAAGGAAAATCATCCTAAAGGAAATTCTGGTAGGAAAGCCCACCATGTAAGGAGAGTGGAGTGAGGTTGAGTGCCCACTCTAGCATCCTGGCTGGCTCCTCCTCTTCCTTCAGGCCCCAGCTTGAGCACCCCCTCTTCCAGGAAGCTCTCCGGACCCCCAGGCTAGGATAGCCACTCCAGGACTCTTCTGTTCAACTATGCGGCTCTTGTCTAAACTTTGTACCCTCTGCTTGGATGCCTCCAGGGACCCCCAATTCTGTCCAGGAGGCCTGTGCCCTCAGTCCCACCCTCCACTGAGCCCCAGCTTACCATGAATACAAAGATAGACACACAGCACCAGCCCAGCACCAAGTAGTAGCCAATCTTCCCAAAGAGCAGGCCCATGAGGACCCCGCCAATCATCCTGGGGGCGGAAGGAGAGGGAAAGGCCAGTCTGTGGTAGAGGCCCCAGGGCTGGGGGCCAGCAGTGGAGAGGCAGGAGGGGTACTCACCCAACATATTTGTAGCCCAAGAAGGCCACCAGGTCGATAGTGGTGAGGTCGGTGTTGACAGTGACAAGGTAGAGGCTGAGCAGGATGGCCAGCACCTCCAGTGTCAGCCAGGCCAACGCTGAGCTTGCTTGGAGCCCCAGGAGGTCTGGGGAGAACCTGCCGGCACCCAAGCTATGTCATTCAGTAGGCCGGCTCAGACCCTCCCTGAACATCTGCCTGGGCACAGTCCGCTGGGTGGGGCTGGAGACCCAGCAGTGACCAAGATGGATCTGGGCCCTGGCCTCCCAGAAATCCCATTCCAGGAAAGGCAGACCTGTCCTCAGTGATAGCCTAGAGAGGTCAGGGCTGGATCAGGGCAGCACAGGGCAGGGGAGGTGCCTGACTCAGTTGGGGGTGGGGTGTCAGGGAGGAGGGTGACACTTGAGTTGAGGCTTGAAGGAATCAGGAGCTGATTATGGAAGAAGGACCTTGGTCTCTGCCTTATCCCCAGTGCCTCAATAATTAATTGACTCTAATGACAACTGTTTTCCATGACGCAAAGGAAATGAACAGGGGCCTATGAGGCAGGGGTGGGGGACTGACCCAGGCTGGAGGGTGGGAAGGCTTCCCTGAGAAAGTAACATCAGAGTGGAGACACCACAAGTGAACAGGTGCTCAGCAGGTGTAAGGGAGGAACTTACTCCTAAGCAAAGGGAACTGGATGTGCAAAGGCCCTAGGGAGGCAGCCCAGGCCCTCTGGAGGAATGGGAAGAGGACCAGAATGGTGGGGCAGAGAGAAGCCGCATGGAGGGCAGGGTTGGGCTAAGGAGCTGAGGCTTGTCTGGGGACAGAGGGGCTAGGGTCAGCTAGCTGTTCTTCTGAAAAGGAGGGGACATGGCCAGGCCTGCCTCTCAAACAAGACCTTCCCAGCTGCTGCTGGAGTTGGGGTGCAGGGAGTGTGTGGGGCAGGGCAGATAGGAGAAGCCAAGGAGAAGGATGGATTTAGAGTCAGCAGCACAGGGTGTTGGGATGGGCCACACATGGGTGGGAAAGAGAGGGAAGAGGTGACTCTGAAAGTGATACCGCAGGCTGTGTCTTGGGCAAACTGGGAACACAGTGGGGTTGTTCTGAGAGAGGGAAACCATGAGACCTTCCTGACTGCCCCTCAGCCCCTCAGGCCCACACCACTTCGCCTACTCCAGGCCTCCCTTACCTATCCTGGGTCCCCAGCGCCAGGCCAGCCACCAAGATGTAGGTGATGAAAGCCATGGCTGTGGGAGGCAAACACAGAGACACTGGTCAGAAGGAGGACCATCCTGGGCCTCCGGGCACCTAAACGTCTGCCCGAGACAGCCCACCCAGAGGGAGGAGGGTGCCGGGTGGTGGTGGGTGGGGTGAAACCTGGGATGTAGAGGTCAGGAGCATTGACGTCAAAGCGGGGGGCCACTGGTGTGTCCTGCTGGTACTGCACCTCCCAGTCCTGTGGGGAGAGTCGGGGGAGCAGGCAGGACTGGGGACTGGGCTCCTCCTGCCCCGCCAACAGGCCCCCTCTTGCGGCAAATCTACCCGCCCTGCCTCTTATACCTGCCCAGCCTGTGATTCACGCCGGCCCAGAGGCTGTCTTCCCCTCAGGGGGCAGTGCTCACCTGGTGCAGGTAGGGGAAGAAGAGCAGGCCCAGCTTTTTGCCCACATACATGGTGTCCACAGCGAAGTAATATTTGAGCTTCGTGACAGGGATGAAGCGGTCGATCTAGGGAGGCAGAGCTCAAACCTGAAGCCCTGGCTCCACAGCCCCTGCCCGCCCCCTACCCCCGCCAGCCTGGCCCACTCACGTTCTTATCCACCAGCTCCTTGCCCTGTGCGGCTAGGCTGCTCCCGTAGGCCATAGCCATGTTGGACACAGGATCTGCCAGGAAGGCTGCCTGGGGCGAGGCGGAGGCTGCAGGGTAGCCCAGGCTGCTGGGTCCCCGCTGGGCCCCGTAGCCCCGGCTCTGGGTTGAACTCGTGTCATCAAAAAGCTGGTGGGGGTCAGCCATGCCTGGCTGGGACACAGGGGTCCTCCGTTTCGAGGCTGCAGGGAAAGAGGGGTGGGAGCCTCATTCATTTTGCAGGAGCTCTCCCTCCCGCTCCTGTCGCAGTAGAGCACTGGTTTTGATGGTAGATGGGTCATTTAGTCAAGTGCAGGTGGCCTCTGCCATCCATCCATCCATCCATCCATCCATCCATCCATCCATCCATCCAAATAACGATAATGATGATGATGATAGCTACATGTACTGAGGTTCACTGCGCACAAAACCCTGTGCTAAATCTTTCACAAACAAGGTCTCTATCCAGACCTCCCTTCGTGCTCCATCTCACTCATTCCACTCTAGCCGCACGGGCCTCAGTGCCACTGAACACACCGGGCACACTCCCACCTCAGGGCCTCTGCACTGGTGGTTCCAGTACCGGCTCTTCCCCCAGACATCCTCACGGCTCCCTCCTCTCCTCCAAGTCTTGGCTCCATGGGGCCTGCCCGAGTCATCCTGTCTACAACTGCATCTCCCTTGGTGGCACCCCAACTCCCTTTCATTTATATCCATAGAACTCAGCACCAACTGACATACTGGCTATTTCATTTATTTTGTTTGCTGTCTGTCTCCCCTACTCAAAGGTGAGCCCCCAGGATGGGGATCTTTGTTTTGTTCGTGGCTGAAGCCCTAGCCCCTAGAACAGGGTTAGAGTAGGTGCTTGATTAAAAACTTGATGAATAAATGCCAGTCCCCATTTACAGGCTCAGACAGGCTAAATGACTTGTGCAAAGGGCCAAACTAAGGAAATGACAGAGCAGGAGACCAGCCCAGCCCAGCCAGTTAAATATTACAATATTTCAATCTGAATTGAGCACTTACCACATACCAGGCTGTGTTCTAAACACTATGGATTAACTCATTTAATTCTCACAACAGCCCATTTTGTGTGGTTGATAGTATCATCCCACTCTACAGATGGGAAAAGTGAGCCCCAAAGAGGTTCAGGGCCCTCGCCCAAAGTCAGACAGATAGCATGAAGCAGAACCCAATTTCAAGTTTTTTAAAGGTCCCTCTGCTTCATGTGGGGAACAGACTGGGGAGGTGGCGACAAGGAGGAGAGATGTGGTCCAGGTGGAAGAGTAGGATTGGGGGGCGAGTGGTGGGGAGGGGATGGGTTGCTTCTGGATGGATTCTGGAGGTGGAGAGGCAGGATTGCCAGATGTGTGCTCAGTTGGAGGAGGGTAAAGAAGAGGCAGGAATCAACGCTGTCTCCTAGATTCTGGTTTGAGTGATAGAGTAGATGGTAGTGTTGTCTACTGAGATGGACAATATGGAGAGGGTGGATTTGAACCCAGCACTCTGGCTCCAGGGCCCTAACCTATAAGCAATGCTGTCACAATAAACATTTACTGAGCTCCTCCTCTGCCAGGCGCCATAATGGGAACAGGGTGGTGAGATTACAGTGGGATGGGGGAGAGGAGTCCAGTGCTCCACGTCATGACTCTCTGCCCCTCAGTCTTCTCTGTAGAATGGTGTCAACAGTCCGGGGCCAAGTGACACTTATAAACTGCTCAGCCCCTGGCCTGGCCCACAAACACGTGGTCAATCCCATCACCTATTATCGACTACTTCTTCCTCTTTGTTATTTGTGGCCTGAAAACAGACTCAGCAAGTGGTCAATCCCAAAGCAAGCAGCACTGGCCCTGGCTCACTTGTCCTCAAGCACCACTTCCCTTTTCCCTCTCCCACTACTGGCCAAAGGGCTGGCTTCCTGGAAGCTTTGGTGCAAGCCCTTCCTCCCTCTCTGTCACCCCCTCAGCCCTTGGCATTTGGGGTTCTGCTCTCCCTGGCCCCCTCAAAGGCCACTGCACTACCAGGCCAAAGCCGTGATTCCACTCTCCTCCAACTGAAGCTCTCGGCAGGATTGGCGCCCTTGCCCCCAGTGTCAGCCTCCGACTCTGCTCTCTTGGCTTCTGAGACACTCTACTACCTCTTTCTCTTTCCTGTCTGAGCCCCACAAACCTCGACTGAGCACCTCTGTGTTAGGCTCTGCTGCAGGCCAGGGAGATACAGCAGCCAGAATCATCTTTTTAAATGCAAAAGAGGATATTTCATGCCCTCTGCCTAAGATCAGCGCCCAATATGCTGAGAATAAAATCCAAATGCCTACGAGGGCCTGCAGTGAACAAAAAGGGGAAAACTGCCTTCATGGGGCTGACAGTCTGATGGGTCCCTCTCAGTCACTGATTTCTCTCCAGCTCCCTGAAACGTGTGACCCAATTTTCTACCTTTAAGCTTCTCTTCTGCCTCTTACCTAGGGCAGTCTCACCACACCCACAGCTTTCAGTAAGCCACCACGTGCCCTGGGCTTCCTGGCACCGCCCTCTGGCTGCCCCTGGGCCTTTACCTCTGACATCCAATCAGCCAGTCGCTAGTCTCACCCACCCTATCTCAACGTCACTCTCCCTTCAAGACCTTGTCATCTCGCACCTGACTTAAATGTCCTCTCACCAGGTTCCCTTGTTCATTCTTAGCCCCAACAATTTTCTTTCCTATCAGCAGCCAGAATCATCTTTTTAAATGCAAAAGAGGATATTTCGTGCCCTCTGCCTAAGATCAGCGCCCAATATGCTGAGAATAAAATCCAAATGCCTACGAGGGCCTGCATGACCCAGCCCTGCCAATCACCCTGGTTTGCTACCACTCCACCCAGCCACCATGGCTTCTTCTCAGGCTCCTGCAAAGTTCCTCGCCCCCTCAGGCTTTTGAACACAGTACTATCACCTCGGAACACCTTCCCACAATCAACACCTGCCAATAAGCACTCAGGCCTCAGCTCAAAAGATTCCTTCTCAGAGAGACCTTCTTTACTCCCCAATATAAAGCACTAGCCTGGCCTTGTTCTTTCTCATAATATTTGGTGGTTCTTATTTCTCTTCTGAGCACTTATCATAAGCCCTAAATCTGTACTCATTAGTCTGTTTGTTTATTTGGCACAGGCCTCCCATGATTATTCCTCTCACCACAAATCCCCTTCTCAAGGCTAATTCCTCATCATTGGATGTACCTCTCCCAGGAAGCTTCACTGACACGCCCACTTTCCTAATCTGAGTTAACATAACACCTCCATCCAAGATGGAACCACTCTGATTGTGTTTCTCCCATCCCTGCCCTGACCCCTCTGACTACACAACTCTCTCATCAGAGCTCCACAGTCCATAGACTGCTGCTGTCTTCCACTCTGTGCTGGTAGCTCCATGAAGACAGGAACCAGGACTGAAGGGCACAGCTGTATCCCCAGCATCACACCACAGAGCCAGCCAGGCATCTTACAAAGGTTGAAGGGAGGAATGCATGCATCATATCTTGAGTCACATCCCAGATTATTCCCTTTACAGCCCTAATTATATCCCCAAATTATCTTTCTGGCTTGTTTGCTTCCTAGTTTAGTGTCTGTCTTCCGACTAAACTCTGAGCTGTAAGTTACCAAGGACCAGTGCTATGCTTACTACCACCGGGTACCTAAATTCCAGCACTGGGCCTGGCACAAGGGAGTTGGAGCAAGGTACGCTGAATGAATAAATGAGATGCACACAACTCACGGAGATGAAAAGAAACTTAAAGAGGGATACAAATTCATAGACACGGGGAAAGGGAGTTAACACAACAGATACAGGTTCAAATCTTAAATGAGGGGTAAACACGGCCCTCTGCGACCACGCAGGGCTATGAATGCCATCCTAAGGAGCGTGGGGAGGAGAGCCCGAGGCCACGGAAGGATGGGGAGCGGAATGATGGCTAACACAAATGAATGAAAGTTGCGTTTTTCTACACATCACACAATATCCTGCCCAAACTTGTTTTCTTCTAAAGGAATTTCCTAAAGAAAAGAAGAATCGAGCCCAACGAGCCCCCTACCCGGACCTGGCATCCCTGCGCTGTGCACACCATGTAGATCCAGATCCCTGACCTCGTGACCTCCGACCTGAGGCAACCTCGTCAACCGTCGAGGCGTCCCCGCTTCGCCCCGCCCTCCCGATCTCTTCGGCCGGCCACGTACGCCACTTACGCTGCCGGGGCGTCCCCGCCGCCACCAAGCCTCCTGGGTGCATCCTTCGCCACCGCCGCCGCCGCCGCCCCAGCCACGGTTCGAAATGTGCCCGCCCGGCTCCCGTAGCCACGCCCTACCGGCGACACGACAGCCAATGGGCGTCACGATAGTGCAGAGACCACGCCCTCTCGCGGAGGCCTAGACAAGTTGGCGGTGAGAGGCGAGGACCGGAGACTGGTGACTAAGGCGCGAGTCAGGGCAGGAGAGGCAGGAAGGCGGAGCTGGGAACTATCCGAGGAGTAGGCGGTGTCCTGCTGGACCGGAAATGTAGGTGTTGAGCGAAGAGGCCGATGGGAAATGGAGTTCTCTATAGACCAACGCTCAATTTGGTCCCCGAGAGCACTGGGGAGCCCAAGGATGATGTAGAGCAGGAGAGGAGAGACCCATTTGTGTTCCAGGGGCTAAATGGAGTTGTGCGTGCCCTAGCGCTTATGCAATTTTGGCAGACTTTAGGTATTAAAGTGATTATTTAGAGTGAGAAAAGGACATCCAACAAGTTAGGTGTGGGAAGAACCAGGTGTCTTTCCTCGAGATCGTTAAAAAACAAAACTAATTATAATTTATTATTAATGAAGTTCGAATACATTTGAAGACCTCATAGGCTTTATTCAGCAAATTATGAATGGGGCAGCATCCCATCTAGTAAATAGAAAGGAGCTAGTAGGAGTTGTACAAAATGCAGGGTTTTTGTAAGAGGAGGGTGGAGCAAGAAAGTTATTAGCAAAATAAAAGAATTGTTTCAGGTCAGAGATCACCTTCTTTTAGGGTGAGGGTAAGGGTTTATTTTGTAGAATACCTCTTCTTCCTTTGTAGAGGAGGGGCAGAGATGGAGAGGGCCCACGGGGCAGATTACCTCATTGGCGCTGACCAAAAAATCCAGACTGGCTGATTAAGATTACCTTCCCAGGGAAGGTGGAAATTGCAATTAGGTCAGGTATTAAATCTAAGTTTGGCATGGGCTTTAGCATGAGTCATGCCATTTTTGGGTCTGTGGTTTTCTTTTTAACAATACCTTTAGACATTTCCCTAGAAATTCATAAAAATGCTCCTGTGTTGCAGTCTGGTTTCCCTGGACTGCCAAAAGCACTCTATGACCCCCAGCAGCTCAGCACATACAGGCACACCTGCAAGCGAGGAGCCCTGAAAACCAAGCTTCCTTAGTCTCTCCCGTCTCTGCCCTCAGTCGTCCCCTTTATCTAACCCTGTCGCCCCCTTTGTCTCCCCCTCGGCCTCCCCTTCTCTGTCCCTCAGTCTCCTCCACTTATCTCAGGCAAAGATAATGGTAGAAATGACTTATGAGGAGTGATAGCACTGCGGAAGGATGTCAGCAAGTTGACTTTATCACTGTGGCTTTCCCTTTCCTCCTCTGAGACATTGTCTTTTCTGGGGACCTTGAAGACTGTTCTGGTCTCTCAGTTATGAGTCCTAGCTAAGTTGCAGTCCTTTTTTTGTGAGTGAGGTACCCTCGTTCCTTTTCTGTCTCTCTGGTTTAATATCTGTGCCTTGGGCTCCACCACCATTTTCTCATCTTCAGCCCTCTCTCTCCCCTAAATTCTTCTGTGACTATTATATATATATATTTTACTAATAAAGCAGGGATTTTGGCTTCCTGCTGGCCTCATGTTCACCCCTTCCTGATTGTGTGACTACTCTAGTTTTAAGGCTAAATGTTCTCATCTGTTTAATGGGAATAATGTAAAACAAAACAAAAAAAATTACCCACCATCCAGTCCTACAAGAATCAAGTCATTAGCGACTGTAGTTGTTGACCTATACCCCAAAGGGAATTCAGGGAGAAGATCAGGATGAGGCACTCTGTGCTCCAGGAAAATAGGCCCTTAGATAGTTAGAAATATTTCAGGACATATTTTTTATGAACGTGGATTCTTGCATCTTCCCATACTAAAATTATTAACTAAGATAGCTGTTCCTTGTGACTAACAGTAACCTTCTAAGGAGATGTGTGCCTGATTGCATGTACTCCTTAACCATGTGTATACTGGCCTCTCCCCCTACTTCTTTGCAGCAGTTTCTCAGAGCTGAGAGGATGTCACTCAAGCTTTGTTCCTCAATAAGTCCCCAGCTGAAAGTAAAATTCACATTTCTCACATTGTGCTTTTTTTTTTTCAAATTTACAATAATATAGAAGGGGTTGAGAATTCAATACAAGCCCATGTGTCCACAAGGCCTGGCATTATTATAAGCTTTTGATCACTGGCAGCTACTGTTACCATTTTTATTATCAGGTGTCTCTTCTAGGGTTGGCAGCCCCAAGTTGGGCTTTATCCTAAGAACTGCCACACTTTTATAAATAGAATCAGCTGGGGTGTGTCTGAGCTGGATCCCAAGCTCCACTCCTCTGCCAATCACATGTGGTTGGAATTCTGGGCTGTCCTCCAGAAAGCTGTCAGGGAGGATGATGAGTTACAGACCGAGGAGGGTGGAAGAAAAGTACCGGAGAAACTGAAGGAAAAATTCCTCCTTAAACAGAGGAGTATATCTGTGATTCTGTCAGGGAAAGAGAACCTGGCACACTCCTATTCATCCTTCATGTCTCAGCTCAGACACTCCCTTCCTGATGAAGCTCTCATGACCTCCCTAAACTGGGTCAATTTAGGCTCCTCTAGGCTCCTCTGGGTCCCACAGTCCTCTAAGCTTCCCCATTTCAGTCCCCGTCCCTGTGCCCATGCTTCCCTCATCACAGCCTTGATCGTATTGGCTGTCACTCTGTTGAAGTGCTGGGAGCCCTCAGAGGGCAGGGTCCAGGACTGTGTTGGTCACTGCTGTGTCCCCGGCATCACCCCGCAAAGGGCCAAACACAACTCAGGCGCTGAGCAAAGACTGGGTGAACAGCTAAGGATCCCCACTCTGTCCGTGAGGGCACAGGTGACACCTGGCCCTGTGGTGTCCCTTCATGAGTTAGGCGTCCTCTCCGGGTGGACGTAGCTCCACTCCAGAGAACACCTGGCGAATGGAGCGAAGGCTGGATTTCAGTTTGTCTCCTTGTCCCTTCAGCCACGCGCCCCAGTGCGGATGCGGCGTACAATCTTCGCAGCCGTGCGCGTTGGCCAGGAAGAGTTGGGGAGCGACTCCTCCGTCGGAGAGCGGAAAAGAGAGTTCGGATTCACACCGGGATAGGGAGCCGCGGCTCAGGGCAGGAAGAGAAGGAAGGAAGGGAAGGAGAGGAAGAAACCACCCACCGCTCGCTTCCCGCGTGTCTCCCGGGGTCGGGAGCTCCTGGCTCCTCCCAGTCGGTGCTCGCACCTGGCGGTGGGGCGTGCCTCAGTTTCCTCCACCCCCGCCCCTCCCCTTTTTCC